TCTAAAGGTTTTAAAACCAAACCAAATCTAAGCCAACTTTACCATCTCTAGTCTTCGGGCAAATTCTAGTAAAAAAGGACCAATGTTGACTGCATCTAATTGATCTTCATCCTTATTTAGTAATCTATTGAAAATCGGCAAAAGTACTTTGTGAATTGACTCAGCTTGGTCTCTTAAATCTCTATTAAGATCAGTAATATCTTTATGCTCCATTTTCTTAGCCTCTGACAGAGCTTTAGAACTTTGAACTTGTGATCCTGCCACCGCTTGTTTTTCTGTGAGCTGACGATCAGTGATGGCAAGGGATTTCAATTCCATTTCTTGTTCTTTGTATTGTATGGCATCAAAGTTGATATGAAAACAAGGAAATGATAAAAGGTACAAAGAATCTGGAGAAGTCACAGGATGAAACTCTAAAATTTGATTATTTTACCTTCATGGAACTGTGTAAATTGCTCTGAGAAAATTGGAAATGGAACATCTAATTTCTGCAATTCATTATCTAATGATAATTATAAGAGGCCAGATGATTATAATCTCAGTTAATAATATACGACCAAAGACAGAAACTAATAATTTGAAAATGATCTCCCTTACCGAGTGCAAAAACTTGAGAATTCGGTATAGGAGGTGGACAAGACTAAGAGATGAAAAAATAGACAATCTACTTTATTTCATCATGAATTACAATGTTTTTATGAAAAATTATAAGTTATATACATCAAAGTTAGACTGAAGTATATCATTTAGCAGGTGAGAATTTGACTTTCTGCCGTTCGAAATTTGATTATGCCCGTTATTCAAACCATTAACTCGAGCAGACCTATGATCTGTACTGTTGGTAAATTGTGACAAATTGCTATCGTCGTTTGTCGTTGAATCTTGACCGTTGAGATCAACGGACGCATCACTATCTATAAACCAAGGTTTGTTAATGTCAATGGTGACTTAAAGAGTAGATACACAAAAAAAGAACTTATTTACTCTCGGAAACATATTCTTCAGAAGTATCGCTATTGTCTTCCGCATAGTCTTTATCTCCAAGAACAAACTCTTTGTCTGAGTCTTCTGAATCGTCAGGGAGATCAGCAAACAACCAATCTTTGTCCATGTAATTATTTATGTTTATTA